TGGGAATGGAAAAGAGGTCTCCAAAGATCTAAAAACCACCCACTCCTTCTCCAGACCATCCTTTAGTTGGGTGGAAGGCTTTTAAGAGGAGGTAGGAAAGGGAACAGGGTCTCACACACACCTGAGATCTGCAGGTGTGTGGTGGAAGGCTTTCAAGCAGAGGTGGGGATGGGAACAGGGTCTCTCACACACTGGAGATCTACAAACCACCCACTCTTTCTCCTGTCCATCCTTTAGTTAGGTGGAAGGCTTGGAAGAAGAGGTGAGGATGGGAATGGGGTCTCCAAATATCTGCAGACCACCCACTCTTTCTCCAGTCCATCCTTTAATTTGGTGGAAGGCTTTCAAGAGGAGGTAAGAATGGGACCAGGGCCTCAAACACACCTGAGATCTGCAAATCACCCACTCCTTCTCCAGACCATCCTCTAATTTGGTGGAAGGCTTTCAAGCGGAGGTGGGAATGAGAATGGGGTCTCACACACACCTGAGATCTGCAAACCACCCACTCCTTCTCCAGACCATCCTCTAAATTGGTGGAAGGCATTCAAGCAGAGGTGGGAAAGGGGTCTCACACACACCTGAGATCTGCAAATCACCCACTCCTTCTCCAGACTATCTTTTAGATTGGTGGAAGGCTTTCAAGAGGAGGTAGGAAAGGGAACGGGGTCTCACACACACCTGAGATCTGCAGGTGTGTGGTGGAAGGCTTTCAAGCAGAGGTGGGGATGGAAACGGGGGTCTTACACATATCTGAGATCTGCAGGTGTGTGGTGGAAGGCTTTCAAGAGGAGGAATGGGAGCAGGGCCTCTCACACACCTGAGATCTGCAAACCACCCACTCCTTCTCCAGACCATCCTTTAGTTTGGTGGAAGGCTTTCAAGAGGAGGTGGGAATGGGAACAGGGCCTCAAACACACCTGAGATCTGCAAACCACCCACTCTTTCTCCAGAACATCCTTTAGTTTGGTGGAACGCTTGCAAGAAGAGGTGGGAATGGGAATGGGGTCTCCAAAGATCTGCAAACCACCCACTCCTTCTCCAGTCCATCCTTTAGTTTGGTGGAAAGCTATCAAGCAGAGGTGGGGATGGGAACGGGGTCTCACACACACCTGAGATCTCCAAACCACCCACTCTCTTTCCAGAACATCCTTTAGTTTGGTGGAACGCTTGCAAGCGGAGGTGGGAATGGGAAAAGGGTCTCACACACACTGGAGATCTGCAAACCACCCACTCCTTCTTCAGTCTATCCCTTTGCAGCACATTCCAAAGCCATCTCAACACAGACATTGCAAGCGACCTGGTCAACCAGAGGTCACAACACAGGAGTGATGGGATGCAAATGGACAAGAGAGTGGGCCTCCCTTCTTTGGCTCCTCTCATCCCTTTCATTCAGAATCAGGATTCCAACCTGGAGATAAAGATGGATGCCGGAGGACCACCGCCGTCACCTCCTCCGCCCGACGCAAATGACATTTAAAAGCAGGCGAAATCTCAAAAGGCGACGATGCCGCCGCTTACCGGAATTTGATGAAGACATTCATAGCCCAGGCGCTGAATTTCAGAGGCTCCAGCTTGATCCGGAACATGGCTCCGGAGATGGTCCTTCCCCTGGGAGAGGGGGTGGAGGGAGGCAGGGAGGGGCGCACACGCCAAGGAGCCCCCGGCCCCAGCTTCAGGGGCTTCGGACCCAGCTCCAATCTCCGCCGAGGCAGAGGGACCCCCGCCTGCTTCCCCACAAAGAGATTTTGGGGTGAGGGGTGGGGGGTTTCACGCGGAAGAAGCCTTCCCTTTGTGGCAAAAATGCTCAATGAAATCGCTGACAGCCACCGTGCCTCTCCTAATTGGTTTCTGGCTGCGGGCTCAAAGCACAAAAGCAGCGCTGAATGGTTCGTTTTTGCACAATCTCCCAGGAAATTGGGGGGGGGGGATAGAGAGAGAAAAAGGGGGGTCTTTGCCCTTTGGCACCTCCCTTTGCAAGCTCAGAGGAGCCCAGTTCAGGATGCAAATCGTGCGTATGTTTGGATTTGGGAGGGAAGATTAGATGCCAAGTGATGCGATGCCCGACCACACAAAGGACAACCTGTGGATGGAGACCCTTTCCAAGGGTCTCCATCCACAGGTTGTCCTTTGTGCGGTCGGGCATCGCATCACTTGGCATCTAATCTTCCCTCCTCAATACAAAATACACAGGGATGTCTAGACACACCAAGGTTGGCAAAAGGAGGAACCCAAATAGCCAAGGATTTGTTTAGCATCCGTAGCAAATTGGCACCTGGGAATGAGACATAAGGAACGTCGGCAACGTCCAAAGCGGACGATCTGAGAGGTGTAATGCCCCATGGCGCAGCGGGTTAAACCGCTGAGATGCTGAAATTGCTGACCAAAAGGACGGCAGTTCGAATCTAGGATGAGCTCCCGCTGTCAGCTCCAGCTTCTGCCAACCTAGCAGTTCGAAAAACATGCAAATGTGAGTAGATCAATAGGTACCGCTTCGGTATTTATTTATTTATTTACATCATTTGTATGCTGCCCTTCTCATCCCAAAGGGAACTCAGAGCGCAGTGGGTTAAACCGCTGAGCTGCTGAATTTGTTGACCAAAAGGTCGGCGGTTTGAATCCAGGGAGCAGGGTGAGCTCCCACTGTCAGCCCCAGCTTCTGCCAACCTAGCAGTTCAAAAGCATGCAAATGTGAGTAGATCAATAGGTACCGCTTCGGTATTTATTTATTTACGTCATTTGTATGTTGTCATTCTCACCCCAAAGGGGACTGAGAGTGCAGTGGGTTAAACCGCTGAGCTGCTGAACTTGCTGACCAAAAGGTCGGCGGTTTGAATCCAGGGTGAGCTCCCGCTGTCAGCCCCAGCTTCTGCCAACCTAGCAGTTCAAAAACATGCGAATGTGAGTAGATTAATAGGTACCGCTTCGGTATTTATTTATTTATTTGCGACATTTATACGCCGCCCTTCTCACCCCGAAGGGGACTCAGAGAGGCTTACTAATACACATACAATATATTATATTATTCGCATAGTACAATATCAGTATTATATATTACTATATTGTACTATACCATTATATTGTAATATTATTAGTAATATTATATGCAATACAAAACATATAATTATAATATTGTATTATTATTATTAGTATTATATCAGTATTATATATTACTATATTGTACTATACCATTATATTGTAATATTATTAGTAATATTACATGTATTATAAAACATATAATTATAATATTGTATTATTATTATTATTAGCATTATATTGTATTACATTATAATAGGAAGGTAATGGTGTTCCATGCAGTCATGCTGGCCATATGACCTTGGAGGCGTCTGTGGACAACACCAGCTCTTTGGATTAGAAATGGAGATGAGCAGCAACCCCCAGAGTCAGACATAATTAGACATAATATCAAGGGGAAACCTTTATCTTTACTGCCCCAAACGCGTACAACGGTATCCACCCTCAAGAGCAAAAGTTTCAGAGCATCCAAGCCAAGAAAGAGATAAATATAATGGTATTACTAATACTGAAAGGAGTGACAAAGAGAGACGCCTCCAACAGACAAGAGTTTTTTCTCCCGCCCTGGACATCATTCCACAGACCTCACAACCTCTGAGGATGCCTGCCATAGATGCAGGCGAAATGTCAGGAGAGAATGCTTCTGGCAGCCCGCAAAACTCACAGCAACCCAAAAGAGATAAAATAGGTCAAGGATCCACGAGTATCTGAGGACACCGAGGGATGCAATGCCGAGGACGCCCAGACTGCTTCATCCACGTCCTGGTGGGAATTGACCACGACCCCCAAACCGGACAAGAGTGGCCTCTCCATCCCTCAAAAGAGAGGTCACGGCACTATCACAACAATGAGGGGCCGGAGACAAAGCCCCAGCTCTGGTTCCCCGACACAAATGGCTTCATCCACGTCCTGGTGGGAACTGACCACGACCCCCAAATCAAGAGTGGCCTCTCCATCCCTCAAAAGAGCGGTCACGTCATTATCACAACAATGAGGGGCCGGAGACAAAGCCCCAAATCTGGTTCCCCGACACAAGTGGCTTCATCCATATCCTGGTGGGAACTGACCACGACCCCCAAACTGGACAAGAGTGGCCTCTCCATCCCTCAAAAGAGAGGTCACGACACTATCACAACAATGTGGGGCCGGGGACGAAGCCCCAAATCCGGTTTCCCGACACAAATGGCTTCATCTATGTCCTGGTGGGAACTGACCACAACATCACTATCACAACAATGTGGGGCCGGAGACAAAGCCCCAAATCTGGTTCCCCGACACAAGTGGCTTTGTCCATGTCCTGGTGGGAACTGACCACAACATCACTATCACAACAATGAGGGGCCGGAGACAAAGCCCCAAATCTGGTTCCCAGACACAAATGGCTTTGTCCATGTCCTGGTGGGAACTGACCACGACATCACTATCACAACAATGAGGGTCCGGAGACAAAGCCCCAAATCTGGTTCCCCGACACAAGTGGCTTTGTCCATGTCCTGGTGGGAACTGACCACGACATCACTATCACAACAATGAGGGTCCGGAGACAAAGCCCCAAATCTGGTTCCCCGACACAAGTGGCTTCATCCACGTCCTGGTGGGAACTGACCACGACCCCCAAATCGGACAAGAGTGGCCTCTCCATCCCTCAAAAGAGACACAAAGGACTGTGTCAATGTCCTGGTGGGAACTTTGTTCAGCCACTACCCAAACAGTCATCGAATAATAACAACACAGAGTTGGAGGAGACCCCAAAGTCCATCCACCATGGAGGAAGACCCAACCTGAGCTCTCCCCACAGATGGTCATTCACTTCCTAGGGGTCACACTCCACTTCTAAACAACTCTGGAAGTTTTTCCTAACATTGAGATGGAATCTCCGCCGCTGTCACTCGAATCCAACGGGTAAACAAAGCTGTCCCCCTGCTCAAAGTGACCTCCTTCCACGTCCCTGGTCCCCCGAGTCCTACCTCTCCACGCGGCTCCAGAAGAGCAGAATGGCTGGCATATCACCGGAGGGAGGGAGAGTGTCGCTAGCACCAGGCAGGCAGGGAATGCCAAGTTTGGTCAAAGCCGAGGCAGCAGGAGAGAGGCTGGGAAAGAAGCAGGCAGACGCAGGCAGCCAGGAATGCAGTGCGCTCCTCTCTCGCTTTCTCGTGCGCCGCCGGAGGAGAGAGGCAGAGAGAGCCCTCGGTGGTGTCCCAGAGGAGCTGATGCTGCTAATGCTGCTGATGCTGCCAGTTTGGAGGAGTCACCGGCAAGAAATGTCATGCCTATCCTCCCGTCTCCGTGAATCATCCCTCTCCCCAGCTCTGGCGGCTGGTGGCAGCAGTGATGGCCATGCCCACCCGTCCCACGCCTGTGCCCACCCACGCACCGCACAGCACCGCACAGCCGGTGCCAGGCAAGGAAGGAAGGAAACAAGGAAGGAAGGAGGCAGGCCATCCACCCCCAGACCCACACCTCCCTAAATAGGAAGGAGAAGCAGGAGGAGGGAGAGCTGTGGAACTAGGAACCACTGCCCACAAAAGGGAATAAAAGAGCAGGGGAGCCACAATGGTCCACGCTCTTGTTACATCCCGGATAGACTACTGCAACGCACTCTACGTGGGGTTGCCCTTGAAGACTGTTCGGAAACTTCAACTGGTCCAGCGAGTGGCAGTCAGATTGCTCACCAGAGCGACATACACAGAACACACCACCCCCCTGCTGTGTCAGCTCCACTGGCTGCTGGTTCAGTTCCGAGCACAATTCAAGGTGCTGGTTTTGACCTACAAAACCATATACCAGTGTTTCTCAACCTGGGGGTCGGGACCCCTGGAGGGGTCGCGAGGGGGTGTCAGAGGGGTCGCCAAAGACCATCACAGACAGTATTTTCTGTTGGTCATGGGAGTTCTGTGTGGGAAGTTTGGCCTAATTCTACCGTTGGTGGGCTTCTGAATGCTCTTTGGTTGTAGGTGAACTATAAATCCCAGCAACTACAACTCCCAAATGTCAAGGTCTATTTTCCTCGAACTTCACCAGTGTTCACATTTGGGCATATTGAATATTCGTGCCAAGTTTGATCCAGATCCATCATTGTTTGAGTCCACAGTGCTCTCTGGGTGTAGGCAAACTACAACTCCCAAACTCAAGGTCAATGCCCACCAAACCCTTCCAGTTTTTTCCGTTGGTCATGGGAGTTCTGTGTGCCAAGTTTAGTCCAATTCCATCGTTGGTAGAGTTCAGAATGCTCTTTGAATGTAGGTGAACTATAAATCCCAGCAACTACAACTCCCAAATGACAAAATCAATCCTCCCATAACACTCCAATAGAATACATCCTGCATATCAGATATTTACATAATGATTCATAACAGTAGCAAAATTACAATTATGAAGTAGCAGTGAAAATAATTTAATGGTTGGGGGTCACCACAACATGAGGAACTGTATGAAGGGGTCACGGCATTAGGAACGTTGAGAACCACTGCCCTATACGGTTCCGGTCCAGCGTATCTGTCCGAACGCATCTCCCACCCCAGAGTTTGAGATCACCTGGGGAGGCCCTGCTCTCAACCCCACCGCTATCACAAGTGAGGATGGTGGGGACGAGGAGCAGGGCCTTCTCAGTGGTGGCCCCTCACCTGTGGAACTCACTCCCGGGGGAAATTAGTGCATCAACATCCCTCCTCTCCTTCACGTGGTTGTGGGACCAGGCCTTTGGGCAATCTGACAACTAGATAAGGACAATCGGACGATTAGGACTGACAATTATGGAATTGGAATTTGGACTATGAGATAGCGAAAGCTGACCGTCAATGAGGAGTAATTGGGTTTGTATTGGTTTTATTGTTGTAATGCAGGAACTTTTGTTTAATTGTTAATTGCTGCTATTTGTTTACTACTGTTATATGATGCCCGCATCGAATTGTGCCTTTGTAAGCCGCCCTAAATCCCCTTCGGGGTGAGAAGGAAGGGGTAGAAGTAACTGAAATAATAATAATAATAATAATAATAATAATAATAATAATAATAATAAACTTATCCAGTGGCCCAGTCAAAGGGGAGAAGGGCTGGTGGCAAAACCAGAGGAAGACCTGCTCTGAGTCGCCTTTGAGAGAGGAAAACGGGGTGTAAACAAATATAATAATATAATAAACAACAGAGAGGAATCAAACAAGGACGTATAATCACCTCTCAGCAAAAGATTGCCCCAGGCACTGCCAGGCCATCAAATGCTAATCAAGGTGGTCAGTTGAAACATTCACACCGAGCTCCAGCAGACAAGAGTCCTTTGTCCCACCGTGGTCATTCCACAGATATATAAACCCAATTTTCCTAGTTCCAACAGACCTCACAACCACTTGACATAGATGCAGGTGAAACGTCAGGAGAGAATGCCTCTAGAACATGGCCATATAGCCCGAAAAAACCTACAACCCAAATATAATAACATTAATAATAACTTGATCGTGTCTCCCAAACAAAGGGGAGAAAAGCTGGTGGCAGAGACAGAGGAAGACCTGCTTTGAGTCTCCTTTGAGGGAGGAAAGTGGAGTGTAAACAAATATAATAATATAATAAACAACAGTGGAAACAAACAAGGACATCTAATCACCTCTCGACAAAAGATTGCCCCAGGCACTGCCAGGCCACCAAATGCTAATCAAGGGGGTCAGTTGAAACATTCACACCTAGGAGCAGAAGAGCCCCATTTATCCAATGGCCCAGTCAAAGGGGAGAAGGGCTGGTGGCAAAACCAGAGGAAGACCTGCTCTGGGTCGCCTTTGAGAGAGGAAAGTGGGGTGTAAACAAATATAATAATATTATATTATTATATTATATATGTGAGAGCTGTTCAGCAATGGAACTCTCTGCCCCGGAGTGTGGTGGAGGCTCCTTCTTTGGAAGCTTTTAAACAGAGGCTGGATGGCCATCTGTCAGGGGTGATTTGAATGCAATATTCCTGCTTCTTGGCAGAATGAGGTTGGACTGGATGGCCCATGAGGTCTCTTCCAACCCTTTGATTCTATGATTCTATGATTCCATAATAAACAACAGAGAGGAAAAAAACAAGGATGTCTAATCACCTCTCAGCAAAAGATTGCCCCAGGCACTGCCAGGCCACCAAATGCTAATCAAGGGGGTCAGTTGAAACATTCACACCTAGGAGCAGAAGAGCCCCACTTATCCAATGGCCCAGTCAAAGGGGAGAAGGGCTGGTGGCAAAATCAGAGGAAGACCTGCTCTGGGTCGCCTTTGAGGGAGGAAAGTGGGGTGTAAACAAATATAATAATATAATAGACAACAGAGAGGAAACAAGCAAGGACGTCTAATCACCTCTCGACAAAAGATTGCCCCAGGCACTGCTAGGCCATCAAATGCTAATCAAGGTGGTCAGTTGAAACATTCACACCCAGCTCCAGGAGACATGAGTCCTTTGTCCCACCCTGGTCATTCCACAGATATATAAACCCAATTTTCCTAGTTCCAACAGACCTCACAAACACTTGACATAGATGCAGGTGAAACGTCAGGAGAGAATGCCTCTAGAACATGGCCATATAGCCCGAAAAAACCTACAACCCAAATATAATAACATTAATAATAAACTGATCAGGTGTCCCAAACAAAGGGGAGAAATGCTGGTGGCAGAGACAGAGGAAGACCTGCTCTGGGTCTCCTTTGAGAGAGGAAAGTGGGGTGTAAACAAATATAATAATATAATAAACAACAGAGAGGAAACAAACAAGGACATCTAATCACCTCTCAGCAAAAGATTGCCCCAGGCACTGCCAGGCCATCAAATGCTAATCAAGGTGGTCAGTTGAAACATTCACACCTAGGAGCAAAAGATCCCCACTTATCCAATGGCCCAGTCAAAGGGGAGAAGGGCTGGTGGCAAAACCAGAGGAAGACCTGCTCTGAGTCTCCTTTGAGAGAGGAAAGTGGGGTGTAAACAAATATAATAATAATAATAATAATAATAATAATAATAATAATACATTGATCAGGTGTCCCAAACAAAGGGGAGAAAATCTGGTAGCAGAGCCAAAGGAAGACCTGCTCTGAGTCTCCTTTAAGAGGGGAAAGTAAATATAAATATTATATTATAAAATATAAATATATATAAAATAAATATAATAAATTAAATATAAATATAATAGCATTACTAATACATTTATCAGGCATCCCAAGCAAAGGAGAGAAGAGCTGGTGGCAGAGCCAGAGGAAGACCTGCTCTGAGTCTCCTTTGAGAGAGTATGAAACAATGACATGAAACAATCAGGGCCAGCTAACACCTCCCAACAAAGGTACCTCCCCCCCCAGGCGGGAAGCAGCCAGTCTTTGAAGCTGCAAGGCCATTCAGACAAGAAACAAGGTATGGGCGGAAAAAAACTTCTAAAATAAAGAGCAACACTCAAAAAGCAGGGGAATTCCTGACATGAAACAATCAGGGCCAGCTAACACCTCCCAACAAAGGTTCCTCCCCCCCCCAGGCAGGAAGCAGCCAGTCTTTGAAGCTGCAAGGCTATTCAGACAAGAAACAAACAAAGTATGAGCGAAAAAAACTTCTAAAATCAGGACAGGAAATAAAGAGCAACAGTCAAAAAGCAGGAGAATTCCTGATATGAAACAATCAGGGCCAGCTAACACCTCCCAACAAAGGATTCTTCCCAACCAAGGCAGGAAGCAGCCAGTCTTTGAAGCTGCAAGGCTATTCAGACAAGAAACAAACAAAGTATGAGCGAAAAAAACTTCTAAAATCAGGACAGGAAATAAAGAGCAACAGTCAAAAAGCAGGAGAATTCCTGATATGAAACAATCAGGGCCAGCTAACACCTCCCAACAAAGGTTCCTCCCCCCCAAGGCAGGAAGCAGCCAGTCTTTGAAGCTGCAAGGCTATTCAGACAAGAAACAAACAAAGTATGAGCGAAAAAAACTTCTAAAATCAGGACAGGAAATAAAGAGCAACAGTCAAAAAGCAGGAGAATTCCTGATATGAAACAATCAGGGCCAGCTAACACCTCCCAACAAAGGATTCCCCCCCCCCAAGGCAGGAAGCAGCCAGTCTTTGAACCTGCAAGGCTATTCAGACAAGAAACAAACAAGGTATGGGTGAAAAAAAAAACTTCTAAAATAAAGAGCAACACTCAAAAAAGCAGGAGAATTCCTGACATGAAACAATCAGGGCCAGCTAACACCTCCCAACAAAGGATTCCTCCCAGCCAAGGAAGGAAGCAGCCAGTCTTTGAAGCTGCAAGGCCATTCAGACAAGAAACAAACAAGGTATGGGTGAAAAAAAACTTCTAAAATAAAGAGCAACCCTCAAAAAGCAGGGGAATTCCTGACATGAAACAATCAGGGCCAGCTAACACCTCCCAACAAAGGATTCCTCCCAACC